CAAATGCGGACGGACCCATATGAAGTCTATCAACAGTGAATCCATGAACATAAACATATACAGGAACAATAAAGCACTATAATAAAAGTATTAAAAAAGTGGCGCACCTTTCTTGAGTAACCATCTATTGCACCAAATATGATGATGTTGTACCATGAAATCAAAAAAATGAGATGACAATGAGCAGTCAATGAAAAGAGCTACATTAACTCAACACCAATAATAAAGTACATAAATAAATGAAAACCTTACGTTATGAGCTTATGGCTTGGGTCCACATGCACTAATGACAAAGGCCGCTGTACGAAGTATGTCCTCTTGACGATGCCACCCAGCTGTGTCATTCTTTCCAAAATATCTGGAGCGTCGACTCTGTGCATGGACTCCTTAATGCGATTCCACTGAACTCTATGTCCATTTGCTTGCAGACAACCTTTACCCATTCTGTACCCCGTGTTTGGGATCCTGGTTTTTATGGTCAGCACAGCATCATCCAGTTCACTGTCAGATAAACTGCTGTATGTACGTCTTGTGGACAATCCGAGTTCATGCATACGGAAAATAGTACTTTGGCTGACACCCAGCAGGTTGGCGATACAAGACACTAGTAAGGGCATGTCAATGAGCCTGGACAGCAGCTCCTCAGAAAAACTAGATTTTGGTCAGCCGCGTCCTCCTTCTCTACTAAAAACACAGGGATTCTCTTGGGAAAGAGCTGCGTGGATCTTTCTTTGAAGGGATAAAAGACACTCCACAATTTCAGCTGGGATGTTTAAAATAGTAGATGCAGATGTCAGTATAAAGGCTTCCTAATTTACAACATACTGGAAGTAGTCCAAATAAAAGTATGGTTGACTTAATGTGTCACTGATCCTTGATTCCAGACGCTGCAGTAGCTGAGTAGCCAATGGTCCCTGTAAATGTCAAAAATACATATGCCTACCGTTAACTTATCCGTACCAATTCAACATTATGTAACGTTTGGCTAGATAGACTTATAAAACAGCACAACTGAAGTATTTTGGCAAACTAAGAGGTGTAAATGACGTTATCCTTAGCTTGCAAGCTAAAACAATTACTACATCTGGCTCAGTTGTTATTACTGCTCTGGTTGACATTGCTAAACATATGATAGCAGTGAAGTTTATTTCAGGTAACGTTATGGTAGATCTTGCAGTTCAGTGTCAATCGGCGAAACAGTTGTAACATCACTAAGTTAACTAACGTTACCGTTATAAGGTTAACGTTACTTTCACACAGAGCACTTCATCAACGCTAACGTCGTCTAGCACTAGAGTTAACAGCGAGTAAATATCATTAGGTTGAAACCTAAAACAATAATGTCAGAAATGTAAATCATTATAAAGTGCTAAAAATAGTAAAATCGTATAAAAAATGTTGAATGAACACATTATTTACTTTACCTGTGATGCTGAGCCTAGGCTAGCAGCCTCAGGTCTGTTGTTAGCCATCTTTCACCTCTGATGCATGCGCGTTAGATGGAATCGAGGTTCGATAACCTGTCCTGTGATGTCATTTCAGCTGTTCTTGACTCGTACCCACATACTTGAATTTGTGTTCATAGTGAAGAATTCGTAGTCTTAGAAATCAGAGTTGTACTCATGAATGTGAACAGTCATAGCTTCTAGAGTCACACTCACATAAAAACAGAAATGTAATTTTATTGACTCACATGTATGAAAACGCATGGATGCATAAATGTTAAAAATATACGAATATGAAAGTTTGAAAGTGTTCTTACACCATACATGATGCGATTTGCTGGTTCAGACCTTTTTTCGCATTAACAACTTCAAAATAACTTTACACACGTGGTTATATAAGTTTAAGTAATGATTTTCTGATTTATAGCTTAATTTGAATAATCCCACGTCCATTTACGATGCATTTAAAGCGGCCCCCTAGTGGTCGATTTGAATGAAACTTTCAGAGTATATTTCCAGCACTCATGGGGACATATTCTGTGAGTTTTGTGATGATTGCACCAACAGTTGCGGATTTTTGTCTATTTATGTCCTGAGCCACGCCCCTTTACAATTTTATTGGTCAATATCTTGAAAATGAAAGGAGCTATCAACAAGCTTTATACATTTTATATGTTAAGTCCAATGATGAACCATTGGTGGCAATTGGAGCTACAGTGTAGGAGTAGATTCAAAAAATATGTTTATATATATTTGTTCTTTGTTGTAGGCGTATCTAAATGAACCCTGGTGGTATTTTATAGAGCACCCTGAGCTGGGCTTCTGTGAGAAATTTCAAGTCAATAGGACTTATGGTGTGAAGTAGGTGGCCTTTGAAAAGTTTTTTTACCTCAAATACAGCGCCTCCATCTGGTCGATTGGTGTAATATTTCTATGGAAGTGCGGGCACATCTGTCTGAGTTACTGTGCCAAGTATCATGTATGGAAGATATAGCGAGTTAAAGAATTGGTTACAGGGGGACAACTCAGCCTGCAGCTACAACAGGGAGTAAATGAAAGACATGAGTTTCCTATCAATTGAGGTTCAGAGACAAAAAACTAAACCTCTACTGAGCAAGATTTTGCAATTTTTAAGGAAAGGCATTTTGGTGCCTTTTTTGTACTTACAGAGATAAATATACACGACTGGCAGCAGTTTACAAAAAAAAACAACCTGGTCTGCCAAATCCTCTCCACACTCTAAGGTGATCACATGACACAACAATTAAGTCTATAAAAGCTGTGAACCCCTTCACTTTGGAAGGACTAAAGTAAACTTTTTTTTTTAGCAAACACCAAATACAAATTTGAAAAATCCACATCTTTTCTGCAACTTACAGCTCAAATGGAGTCTGTAGCTGCACATATGCCGGAGCATTTAGCTCTTAAAGTTGAGTAGATTGGAAGAAAGTAGAGCCTCTGCTCCCATTGAAATCCATTCATTTATTCACATAAAAATATTAATATAAAATCAGCCATTACAGATATTAGCAACACAGGTAATAACATAAATCTCCTGAACATGATGTACATTTTGAAATTGAAACAAAGTTTCTACGACAAACAGTGCAGGAGAAGATAGATGACAAAGAGACGTAGAATAAATAAATAATAAAGAGCCAAGACAACTAATTAAAGCTGCAAGCAGCATTGGGTGGGCCCTCGCACGTGTAGCATGTCGAGGTGTGAGGTGGACGTGTTGCAGATTCTGGAGCTCTACGTCACTTCCTCTGTTCCCTTCGTGTTATAACAACTTCCTGTTTCACGTCGAATTGTCGATTTTTGACGACACGCCATATACGACTGATGATAACTGTTTGTACAACTTCTAATCATCAGTGGGTTTAGACTGCACAGCGAAAGTTTGAAGTCGATCAGACTAAATCCCTAGGAGGAGTTAAAGTACGGAGTGTGTAAATCATCCAAAAATGACCATAAAATTGAAAATGGCTGACTACCTGTTGGGTTTAGGCTTTTTGGTACATCTGGATATGATACATGTGCCACATAAATTTCATACATGTAGGTGAAACATGCCGTGGAGGCTGCATTTCCTGTTGCCAGCAGGTAGCGCTATGATAATGAGTGAATGTTAGCATGTGGATGTGTTCAGGGTGCAACTCTGGATGTGAGCATGTACAGTGAAGTTACAACAACTTCCTGTGTCATGGCAAAGCGTGTAACATCGAAGCGAAAATTTGAAGTTGATGTTAAAGTATGCGCCCTGTAAATGGTATAAAATGGGTTAAAATTGCACTTTCAATTCAAAATGGCGGACTTCCTGTTGCGTTAAGGGTGTGGGTCCTTGAGGCTTTTTTGTGTGTCTTGATATATTTCCCCAAATAATTTTGTGCATGTAGGCTGAACGTGGCCAAGTGGCAAATTCTTTCGAATTTTTTAGGTGGCGCCAGCGAGCCATTTTGTCACGCCCATGTGCAGGAGTGTGCAAAGTTTGGTGAGTTTTTAAGCATGTTTAGACCCCCATAAATGAGCTTACTTTGCAGAAAAAAGAGAAAAAAAATCACTTCAGTTTCAATAGGGACCTCGCAAGGTTCGTGCTCGGGCCCTAATAATAACCAAAACAGACGAAAATAGAAGGGTTCTGCCGCTTTGCCGTTTGAACTCTAATAATAATAATCATAATAATAAAAACTAAAACAGACAAACATAAAAGGGTTCTACTGCTTGGTGGTTTGAACCCTAATAAATTGTTTGTTAATAAACTGTGTTACTGTGTAATGTTCACTTACTTCTAAATTTCTTTGTGTGTGGGAGCAGTACTCCTGGGCAAAAAAGTTAGTGTAGAGCCCTGTATTAAATTTGGAGGGATATCAAATAACTGTTATCCTTTTCAACTGTAGAACTTTAAGAACCAGTGCCACACAGATTTACAACTTAGAGGCAGCCCTACCATATTCTCAGACCTATTTGTAGGGTCATTGTAAAACCGTCCCACATCATGTAGGAGCTCCGTCTTTCCAAATAACAGTCTCCTTTTAGCTTTTGAGCCAGACATTAAGGTGTGCAATACACCATCCAATTTTTAAACTGTCAAAAGGACTTGTGTCCACACTAACATTTCCATGTCATTTTGGTAGAGACCTCTGTCCACAGTCAAAACAGAACATAAAAATAATTAAATTACTTATTCTTCGCCCTCTTTTTAGTTGGCAAACAACAAAACTGCATCACAGAAAACATCTGTTAAGTAATGGAACTAACAGCTAAGCTGACAAACATTGTTTTATAGTTGCAACGTCATTTAATGTAATTAACGTCATTTAAAATCATCTCATAAATACTGCCTGTTGCTAACTGCAATGGGAAAAGGGAAAAAGGGAATTTCCCTGTACATTAGCAAAAAGCAAGACATGTTGAATTAGCAGCAACAGCTTCAGTAAGACAAAAAGCTGCAGAGAACGACTGGTTAAAGATTCAACAGGCTGACAATCAAGTTTTCCACTTAAAAAAGCTCACAGTCTTTGCTTCATGTATGTGCTTGTTGTGTGTGTTTACCTTGGTATGTTGTCATCGACTGTTGCACATCCATACAGAAAGACAATGACCCCCACCAGAGAGGCAGGAATCAGCATCTGCGTATACAGACCCAACCAGGCAAAGTACAGACCAATCTTCTCGCCAAAGTACTTCCTAAACAACACCAAAGAGATTCAAATCATTTCCATTTTTCAGACAAAAACTACTATGTTGATATCATGATATGGAAATCTAAACTGTAATTGTCCAGGGTTGTCAAATTACAAGATTAAAAATAAGTATGAATTCAGACTGAAAACAGACCTGTGTTAAAACAGGGGGCTATGTTGGTAGGAGCACCACTGTTTAAGGGACTGGGGAGATCCAGGAAGTCAAGATGGACACATTACATGAAACCACAAACCTTAACACATGTAAGCGGAATAATCTCTCTGTTGATATTTTATTAGATACTTTTAATATTGGGGTGGTGATGGCGCAATGGATAAGACACATGCCTTTGGTGTGAGCGACCCAGGTTCAAACCTCCTCTGTGACCCAGCTACCATTATGTCCCTGAGGAAGACACTTAACCCCTAGTTGCTCCAGAGATGTGCGATCTCTGAAATGTATAGCAATTGTAAGTTGCTTTGGATAAAAGCGTCAGCTAAATGACTATATGTAATATAAGTATTTCTTATATTAAATAGATGTTTTTAGGTTCCATATGACACTGAAATCCTGAAATCTCCCCACATGGGTCAATTATTGGACCTAAACTGTTTTGTATTTATATGCTTTCTTTGGATCAGAAAACTTGGAGGTACACGATTGATTTCCACTTTTATGTGGATGATCCGTAACTTTATGTTCCATTAACAGGTACAGGTAACAGGACCTGGAAAAACTTTCTCTGGGACCAGGACAGCCCAACACTCTGTCCACTACAGAAAGCATTATATGGCCTTGTTCCTACCTACATTATAGATTTACTCATGCCACTTCTTCAAAAGGAAGAACACTTTTAACAGCCCACCTCTTTAAAAAAACAAAACACTTTCTGTTAAAGCCCTCAACTGTGGAAATCCCTACATGACGAACTTAGGTCAGCTAAATCAGTACCTATGTTTAAATCACTCCTCAAAAGGTACTTTTATAGGAAGGCTTTTGTGTGGTAATTTATTACCTGTCTTATGTCTCACAGTGTAGGTCCAAACCACTGCATGTACAGGCCACACCCATTTCTGCCTAAACTTTTTTTCGCTACATCGCAAAAACTGAAAAACCTATTTTAATTTACTCCTCCAAAGCCGCAAGTCTGATCGACACCCAGCCGATAAAACTTTGTAAAAGGGAACTTTGATCCGCCAAAAAACATCCAAATTATAAGCTAAAATCTTTTTGCAGAAACGCAAAAAACTGGATGTGATATCTTACGTTTGCAATGGCCGATCTACACCAAACTCGGGGACGTCATCAGCCACGCCGTCCCCACGGGCCTCTAGGTGGAGCTATTAATCGTATATCAACCAATGCTCCCATAGACATCCATTCTGTAACCGCAAGTCCCTTTAATTTCAAACTCCAGCCATTTATTCTCCACGGGCCACCCGGGTTGACTCGCGCCCTCCATGGGGCAACTAAAAATGTCACTAGTGGCCAAATAGCTTTAACTAACGACTACTGTTGACTAAAAATTCTTTGTCAGGGGCAGCCCTAGAAAGACTTCTCCACACAGCACCCTTGACCACACTACCTGTCTTTTGTGAAGGGATTCTTTTTAAGTACATTTACACAACCATAAATTATTACCAACATCTGACATTTTCAAATTCATAGTGGCATTAAACTTATTTCAACTCGCAGTAGCTCAGTCCATAAGGATTCGAACTGGAGGGTGGCCTAAATGAATCAAGTCAGTCGATACAGAGGCGGCTGATAGCTGGAGAGATGCCAATTCACCTCCAGGGCACTGGCGTATTAGATGCCTATAAGCAAGGCGTCTCATCCCTAACCGCTCGGGGCACTGCGCTGTGGTGACCCATCACTGTGTGTGTGTTTGTTTGCATGTGTAAAATTACCATTAGAGGGAATTTCCCCATGGGGACAAATGAACTAATTATAATTTTATTGTTATAACCTGTTAGCAGAATGAAGGATTACAATGTGGTATACTTACTGCCATGTTATTAAAAAGCATATGATATACAAGTATAATATGTACAAGCAATGAGCTGCTATTACAGTCCTTCAAAATAAGAGCCCTGGCTGATGAATACGATATATGAATGAATAATCCTAAATAAATTATTATACCTAAAAAAAGTGTCCTTACCGCACAAGTCCGAGGGGCTGGTACTTGTAGAAGACGCTGTAGTTTGCCCACTCTTCATATAAAAGCTGCGGAAGACAATCACCATAATTTTGTTGCATTTGTCCAGTTTTATCATGCCTTTTTACTGCCATATTTGTCTTAGATGTAACAGTTGGGTGGAGTTCCCTTTCTTGTTTCTTTGACAGTGAACTGTAACTTGTGTACATATTCACCTTTGTAGAGGTAAATGGTTTCAGAATAAGAAGGAGCTTTAAAGCCAAGTAGTGTTTTACACATATGAGGAATTTGCTGTGTTGATAAGGTGCTACACGTAGACAAACATACAGTCAACATAAATAAATAGAAATATATAAATATGGAATGGAAGAACAATGTTGCAGATATCCATGTGCATTATTCTGGGTCTGTGCCGTGCAGAAGTGACGCAACGGAAGAGAATATTGTGTACATATAAATATATAAATGGACAACATAAAAATATACAACAAAAGATCAACAATCAACAACAAATATGTGCGACGTGCCAGGTCTGTGCCCGATGAGATGAAACAGTATTTACATGTGCTGAGACATTTGTATCATTTGCAAGGGGGGAGTGTCAGTGGGGGACCTGGGCCTTGTTAATGAGGCTAGTGCAGACGGGTTTTTGTGGCGAGAAGTTTTGGTCCTGATGGACCGCAGCCTCCTGCCAGAGGGGAGAGTCTGAAACAGTTTGTGTCCGGGGTGGGAGGAGTCAGCTGCAATCTTTCCTGCTCGCCTCAGAGTCCTCGAGGAGTACAGGTCCTGAAGAGAAGGAAGATTGCAGCCAATCACCTTCTCTGCAGAGCGAATGATGTGCTGCAGCCTGCCCTTGTCCCTGGCAGTGGCAGCAGCGTGCCAGATGGTGATGGAGGAGGTGAGGATGGACTCAATGATGGTGGTGTAGAAGTGCACCATCACAGTCTTTGGCAGGCTAAACTTCTTCAGCTGCCGCAGGAAGTACATCCTCTGCTGGGCCTTCTTGGTGTGGGAGGTGATGTTCAGCTCCCAATTGAGGTCCTGGGAGATGCTGGTACCCAGGAAGCGGAAGGAGTCCAAAGTGGTGACTGGAGAGTCACACAGGATGATGGGGGAGGGTGGGGCTGGGTTCTTTCTAAAATCCAAGACCATCTCCACGGTCTTCAGAGCATTGAGCTCCAGACTGTTCTGGCTGCACCAGGTCACAAGATGGTTGATCTCCCACCTGTAGACAGACTCATCCCCACCAGAGATGAGCCCAATGAGGGTGGTGTCATCCGAGCTTGACAGACTGGTGACTGGAGGTGCAGCTGTTAGTGTACAGGGTGAAGAGAAGGGGGGAAAGAACGCAGCCTTGAGGGGATCCGGTGCTGATGGTCCTGGAATCAGAGACATGTATTTCCATCTTCACGTGCTGCTTCCTGTCCGTCAGGAAGTCAGTGATCCACCTGCAGGTGGAGTCAGGCACATTCAGCCGAGAGAGCTTGTCCTGCAGCAGGGCCAGGATGATGGTGTTAAAAGCAGAGCTGAAATCCACAAAGAGGACACCCCCCATTTGAGGGGTGTCCCCCCTTAAAAACATCAATAATATGATATATACTTAAAATAATTGTGTAAATAGTAAAACAATACAAACGCAAACTCAGCGATTAAAGTGCTTTTTAAGTTTAGAAACATTTTGAGTCACACCTCTCTAGCCTCACAGTGGTTTGGTCCACTTGCCTGCTTCCCGCTCACAGGAGTCCGGTGGCAGAAAACCATTTCAAATCCGCCAGTAGTTGTGGAGCTCCAGTAATGTTAAGGAGGCTGGCAGGGCTGTTTTATGCACTTTAAACATTGGATGAACTGATTATTTTGTCTTTAATACAGATGATGTTGAGTCATTAATAAATTAATCATGACAAAAAGTTATGACAACCTATTGTTTTTCCATGAGCCCACTCTATTTATAACATTACCTAGCTTATTTGGTAGCTTGTTTAACAACCTATATAAAGGGGTGTGTTAGGCCATGCAGGTAGAGTTTTTTCGCAATGTTGCATGCTCTGTATTCTCAACAAAAATCGCCGTTTTGCATACAATAGACATGGCTTTCCCATAGCGTGTATACGTGATGCATGAGATGCGATCGGATTGGTGGGCTAAACTCAGGAATATTTCCTCACTGCTAAATCCGATTGCAAAGTTTAATATAACTTTCCAGTGCATGCATACTACACGGCAGACATGTGTGTACAGCCTTGCAAAGTGAAGTTTGTCTCATAAATATGTGACTATAATGTCAGAGAATATTCAAGTTTTTTTACTTGTAGATTAATCTTGGAAATTAAATTCTGTCTCGGATTATTCCCCTCTGCGCTGGCTCCTTTTTTTCTATTACAATGGACCTTATCTGCAGTTGTACCTTTACATCTTAATCATATTACTCATAAAGAGCCCATAAAATACACAATAGAGATTTCAACTACAATAAGAACACTGTGAAGATAATTAGACTACAAATTTACTCAATGCATAGTAACACAAATGTTTGTGTTTGTTGTCAGTTAAAGATCTTAGAAAGAAAGAAAATCAAAATTGGAAGAAATTAGAATTGGCAGGTCACACCTTTTAAAAAATCAGTAACTGGAATCAGCCAGAAAAATGTAATCTGTGCATCTCTTACTACATCTAATACATAGATCC